CGCTGTGGTACAGGACGATCACCGTGGTGACAGTGCTGTGGTACAGGACAGCACCGTGGGGCCAGGATGGCGATTGTGGCCGATAGCGCGTGGTACAGGGAAAATGTCTCTGTGGCCGAGAGCACTGTGGCAGTGACGGCGATTATGGCCGACAGTGCCGTGGTACAGTTCTATCATATACATGGGTGGCTGGTCTCAAGTGAAGAGTCTACAGAATCTGAGGGAGAAGTTTGTTTGTGGGGTGGGAAACGCGCTGCGCCACCAGCCTGACACTGTGTCATTCATGTTCATACCGCCTGGAACCCACTATGTGCCAAAGCCACTAAGTGACATCAGTTATTTAATAAAACACACTCACGTGTGGGTGTGGTGGCCATACCTGTCACCCCAGGGCCACACCTGTCACCCTGTGCCAGGACTCAGGAGATGAGGCATGAGTTGGACAGTGAGACCATGCTCAAAAATTCAAGCCGGCTGAGAGTCGGTGGCTCACACCGGTCATCCAACTACTCAGGAGAGGCAGAGCTCTGAGGATGGTTTGAAGCCAGCATGGGCAGGAAAGTTCGTGAGACTCTCTACAATTCACTAACAAATTGCTCGAAGTGGAGCTGTGGTGCAAACAGCAGAGTGCTAGACTTGAGCAAAAAAGCTCAGGGGGCTGGGAAGGTGGCTCAGTGGTAGAGCGCTTGCCTTGCATGCCTGAGGCCCTGGGTTCGATTCCTCAGCACCACATAAGCAAAAAAGAAAAAAACCGTTAGTGGCACTGTGGCTCAAGTGGTAGAGCACTAGCCTTGAGCTGAAGAGCTGAGGGACAGCACCCAGGCCCAGAGTTCAGCCCCACAACCGGAACCCCCCCCCAAAAAAACAAAAAGCTCAGGGACAGTGCCCAGTCTGAGTTCAAGCCCTACCAATGGGTGTACGCATACATATATGTACACATAAAATCAAAGCAAGCCAAAATACTACGAAATCATACAGGTGTAACACAGAATTAATGAGTGAGAGACACAAAATAGTATAAAATAACCTCTATTGCATCAAAATGTTGGGTGAGCAATAAAAAATTTCAATCCACAGTAGTAGATATTTACAAGACTATCAACTGACTTTGTCAAAATTCAATTGCATTGAAAGTATTAATAAACACATCAAGTATCAGTTAACTGGTTTTTAACCTTTTGACCAATATGAAAGACAATCCATCAATGAATGACCATTAGCACCCTCTAGTGGCAGAGTTCATCATTACAAGAATTAAGACAAGCATGCAGATGGGGTCAGGATAGAAAACACAGCCCAGGAAGTGCTCACCTCTCTCCCAACTTAAATACGTGTTATTTTATAAGCTTGGATTACAATATAAACTTGGATTACAAAAATTATCTCAAGGACTGGGGTGTAGTTTAAGCAGGATGCTTTAACCTTGTAACCAAATAATCTCTCACAATACAATATTTAAAATGTGACGAGAGTTGTTAAGCCCTTGTACAATCTTCTGATGTCCAGAAAGTAAGTGTGATGCTGTAGGGTGTAACATGCGCGTGGCTACACACTAGACGGCAGGACATTTTGGTCGAGTACGCTTGCGCTCCGCAGCCTACATCCTCAGCATGGCTTTGCCCTGAAGAGACTTGGTGGCCAGGCCAGCCTTCTCTCGCAGCTCGCTGGCCTCCTCGGCACTCTGGTGGGCCTGCACGTGCTTCAGTAAGAAGTGGCCAATGAAGAGCTTCAGGCTTTCCCGCAACACGCCCAGCTTTGGGTTCTCAGACACTCTGGAAGGAAGCAGATGGAGGCAGGATGGGCTCATCTCCCACGTTTCAATACCAGGTGCTTCGACCGCGAGGGAGGGTCCACATTCTTGTATCCACTTTTGGGGTGTTGTGGATCAAACCCAGGGTCTTGCATGTGCTGGGCAAGCACCCTACCCCTGAGTGATAGCCCCGCCTTCCAGTTTAAAATCCTTCTCTCCTTCCCTTCTTCTCTCTACTCCTTTCTTGGTGGAGTCTGGCTGTGTTGCCCAAGTTGGCTTAACTCCCAACTCAGTTTCCTGAGCAGCTGGGACGGTAGCTATACTTCACCACACCCAGTTCCTTTCAAAAATGGAATCTTTTGCCCAGCCGGCCTTGAACCACTATCTTCCCATTACTTCTGGCTCCCGAGCGGCTGAGATTTCAGGTGGAGACACCTTGCGTGGCTAATTAAAAACATACCCAAGACTGATCTCTAATTAACCAGCATAAAACCAGAAGTGGAGGTGTGGCTCAAGTGGTACGGTGTAGTTACGAGTGAAACAACTGAATGAGGCGGGTGCTGTGGCTCCTGCCTGTGTTCCTAGCTGCTCACGAGGCTGAGATCTGAGTCTGTGTTCCTAGCTGCTCATGAGGCTGAGATCTGAGTCTGTGTTCCTAGCTGCTCATGAGGCTGAGATCTGAGTAAGGGTTGAGATTTCAAGCTGTCTTGGCCAGTGAAGTCCACGAGACTCTTACTTCCCACGACCACCTAACAGCCAGAAATGGAGCTGTGGCTCAGGGGGTGGAGCATGAGCTGTGAGCACAAGAGCTCAGGGCAGCGCAGGGCTGTCCAGCCCCAGCACTGGCACAAACAAACAATGCTGAATGAGAACTTGAAGCCCTGAATTCAAGCCCAGTGCCACCACTAAAAAGAGAACCCGGAAGAGGTTCAGTGGTGTGCATGAGCCCTGGGTTTAAGAACTAGGAAGAGGTTCAGCGGTGGACTCGAGTCTCGGGTTTAAGCCCAGCACAAAACAAAACCACAATCAAGAAACAATCCACATAGCCTAAGAAACTGTTCATTATCAGGCAAGTTTACATTACTTAAATTGGCTCCAAACTGAAACTACAATGGTTCTAAATCAACAAGAGTGAGGACAAGCTGGACACTTACTTGGCAAAAATCAAACCCAAGTCTTCAACTTCTGTTTCCATTAACACAATAGTTAGCACCTTCTGTAAAAAGTGGACTCTGGGTTTGTCAAGCTCACTGAACTCGACCACCTAGCGGCCGGGAGACAGAGAAAAGCAGCATTAGACAAGGTTAGCCGAGTGTTGCCCAGTCTGTGGGCACGGGTGCTCCTCCCCTCGTCAGCCCCAATTTCAGAGGCGCTCCCAGCACCTCGGCTGTGCTGCAGGCGCGGGCCGGCACCTTCCGCAGCAAGCAGCGGCAGGCTGCAAGCAGAGCTGCCGAAGAATTAAAACCAACCACGGCCCCCAAACTGACTCCCAACTATAGTTCTGCGCAGACTTATATTTCTCTCAAGAAAATGTTTGAAAAACCCAGAAATGCTCTCAACATTAAGCAGAGAAACTGTACTACACTTCTCCAGTAGAACACCACCTGCAGACAAGCGGAGCTGCAGCCGGAGCTGCTAGGCGCACAGCACGGCTGATGACAGCTGCTCTGTTCACAGGTGCAGCGCAGTCGTGTGCAAAGGCTGTCTGAGGGAGGGAGGAGAGGGGTACAGCCAGAGCTGGGGTCGGGGGGCTCCTGGGGCTATGTCCTCCACAGCAGGTTCCTGTAGCACAGCCCCCTGGGGCTGGCACTGCCCCCTGCAGCCACGCCACTCTGTAGTGACTGTGTCCATCTGCAACCTTCTCGTGCCCACTCCCAAAGCCATGGCCTTCAGACCACCGGGAAGGGCTCATCAGCGCTGCATTCTGGCACAGGGGCCAGTCCCATAGATGTCCTGCTCAATGGCAGGTGACGTCACAGGCCTGACTGCAGGGAGCCATGGGTCAGCTGCAGACCGGGAAAACCATCACCGTCAGCACGGACTCATCTGCACGGTGGTCCAGCCAAACCCAGTCTGCAGGAGTTAAGGATTATTTTAGGATCCCCATATCCTGATGGCCCCATGACCGAAGTGTTGGCAGGCTCCACCTTTGTGTGTCTGGGCATCTCTGTCCCCTCCAGACAAACATCTGGGCGCTGGCACTTCAGGTGTAGGAGTCCACAGCGTTAGTGTCTCACACCAGAGACTGGGTACCCCATGTCCAACGGGAGACCAGGCCCACTCACTTCCACTCTGCCCCAGCTTACAGGATCAGATCAGGGGCTAATACATCAGGCTGGCGCATTAACCACAAAACCTCCAAACAGATAGATATAACCTATAGAGCCCCCCTGTACCTGGTCACAAGTTTACTAAGTTACTCTACTTTGAAAATACTTCTCAGCATCCTGGAAGATGTAACTTTTTTTTTTTTTTGGTCGGTCGTGGGGCTTGAACTCTGGGCCTGGGCGCTGTCTCTGTGCTCTTTAGCTCAAGGCAAGTGTTCTACTGCTTGAGCCACAGTGCCACTTCCAGTTTTCTAGTGGTTTATTGGAGATAAGAGTC